CCTTATAACAATTATATTCAACAATTTTTAATGAGCTTGAGGCCGTTTTTAATGAAAAACTTATTGTAGAAAAGCAACAATATTGTGAAAAAATGGTAGAAGTGATAGCTATTTCGGAAATCACTACATTTCCTCATCAGACTCCTTTCAGTAGGATTCGAACCGACGATCACCACTGACTCAGCCAGTTGCCTACGCACTGTGCTAAGTTTGCCTTGTAAATTATTCTTGCTTTTTTCCACTCTTTCATTTGCTAAGCCAACACAATCAAGCGCAGCTATTCCGCTGCAACTCACTTGATCATGTGGTTGTTGGTTTTGTTGGTTTTTTCTAATAATTCCATTTTTAGAATGTTTAACTTTTGGGTGTGCTCGTCCTTAAGTTATTTGTTTTTGTTATTTTATGGCCTTATAACAATTATATTCAACAATTTTTAATGAGCTTGAGGCCTTTTTTAATGAAAAACTTATTGTGGAATAGCAACAATAATGTGAAAAAATGGTAGACGTGATAGCTATTTCAAAAATCACCACATTTCCTCATCAGACTTCTTTCAGCAGGATTCGGCCATAAAATAACACAACAAATAATTTAAAGACGAGCACACTTAAAAGTTAAACATTCGAGAAATAGAATTATTAGCAAAAACCAACAAAACCAACAACCACATGATCAACTGAATTGCAGCGGAATAGCTGCGCTTGACTATGCTGGCTTAGCAAATGAAAGAGTGGAAAAAAGCAAGAATAATTTACAAGGCGAACTTAGCACAGTGCGGAGGCAACTGGCTGAGTCAGTGGGATCGTCGGTTTGAATCCTACTGAAAGGAGTCTGATGAGGAAATGTGGTGATTTCCGAAATAGCTATCACTTCTACCATTTTTTCACAATATTGTTGCTTTTCTACTATAAGTTTTTCATTAAAAACGGCCTCAAGCTCATTAAAAATTGTTGAATATAATTGTTATAAGGTGTAACGTAGCTCCCCTACGCTACACTAACAGACATTTGTACGTACGTACATATCTACTTACATATATACAAACGTACATGCATACATACATACATACAACCATACATACATACATACAACCACACGCTGAATCTTCATTATACCCATACATCTATACGTATGGACAGTCAAAGCAAAGCATGCAAAACTACACAGCAACTGAAAGCACTCGTGCACGCCAACACTGCACGAGAATTCGCTGCGTAAGCATGCCAAATACTTGCAATATTCATTCGCTTCTCAACCTGCTTATTCAACATCCGACTTAAGTTGATTAACGCTAACTCAGCCACCACCAGCTTCCGTATGTAAGCACGGAGCGTATCGGGAGGCTTAGACCATAAAACACCGAGCGCCCCTGGCTGTTTCTACGGGAAAGGCCGAGAGGTTGGAGGGGTCTGTAAAAGGGGGAATACCCCTCGCACAGACCCCAAGCCCATGATTTTGCAAACGGTCTCAGTGGACAGGAGACAAACTCTCCTGCCCACTTAGAATACCGCGGAGCGAGCAGGCACTGTTCCCAGGCGGCTTAACACGCCCCAAAATGCCAAGCAGCCACGATTTAATACGTTAGAGGGGGTAATGGGCTGCCTTGCCGCCCTGGTGCCATACTAACCAGCTTCCGTAGCTTTTTCAGTTGACCGTTCGGACCGCCAACACTATCTGCCGCCCCTGGGCCAAAGTCACGACCGAGAACCGCTACCAGCTAGGACCGCTAACCGTGCATCCAGGGCCGCTGTCACCACCCATGCATTGCAAGCACACACACCTACCCCGCCTTGCAGCAGTCAAGCAACATGATAAAACACCAATACTACCGAAACCACAATAAGTGCCCCGCTACACACAAGGGAGACAGAATACGAAAGAAAGAAAAGAGGAAAAAAGACGAAGCGAGCAACCAGATGGGAACACGCAAGCGAGGGAGAAGGAACCAGCAGCCGACACCCGACTCCCCTTCGAAGCGTTTCCATGGCAACCCAACTAACCTCGCATTTTAAGCGTGAAAATTTTTCGTGGACCGCCATTAGTTGTTCTGCACCCAGATCAATGCGAACCACTGTTCACGATCACCCCACGTTCCGCCGAAACGCGCGACACAACAAATCCACCGACCAACAGCGACAACAAAGAGGTCACCACAACGCTCCCAGCGGTAGATACCACGGCGATAACACCGAAAGATCCACTCCGGAAACTCCACCTACGGCGCCCGGACAAAACCTGCACAAATGACGAATCCGTTGGTATAAACGTAATATAAATGTCAGATACAACCCACAAAGCAATGCGATAGAGTTCATTGACTAGAAGAAGGAACTACACACATAACCAACCAGCATCACCGAACACCCTACGAAATAAAATGCTTTCATATATATCCGAATACGTACAATGAAATGTAATTTATTTTCCAAAAAAAAAGCAACAAAATGTACCTTTGCCACGAACTTAAAATTATATAGGCTAGGTGAATTATGTACAAAAAAAAATTTCCAAAATAACCCACTGGGAAAATAGGTAAGCACCTTGCGAGGTAAGCCATGTTTTCTTTCAGTTTTTAGTACCAAAATTGTCATCATGGCCAATGTCATCTACTAGTAAAGGGCAAAATGAACACCTCCGAAGACACATTACGTTGTCAGTTGCAAAATAACGTGCAGCCGAAGTTATTTCCAAGCACCGAACTACTCCGAGCGACTGCTCTGCATTACACGTAACTTACTTTGTAAAGCGGCTCAGAAGTATATCTGATACCAAATGTACATTCTAAATTCCTACATACATAAGGCGGCCATGCCTTTGTAAAAGTAAGGGACGTTCGGCAGGGAAATGGTAATGACTGCCAGGTGAAGAGTAAGTTGCTAATAAGGTATTATTACGTGCTCCTAATTCCCACTGGGAAAGGTCATAACCCACACACACCGGCAGAGCCTTTACCGAGCTCCCCTACGCTACACTACCAGACATTTGTACATACGTACATATCTACTTACATACATACATACGTACAACCATACATACATACATACAACCATACATACATGCATACAACCATACATACATATTTACAATCGCACGCAGCATCTTCATTATACCCATACACCTATACGTATGGACACCCTGTAGGGAAACCCCGAACTAGTGAACGAAATTTTTAGTTCCGTACTAGATCTTTATCGCCAAAAACGAACCAGTCCGATAGTAACTAGATCGCCACCAGTTCAAAAGCAGCGATATGTGGTACTTTTAAAAAACAATTTTAGAAATCTATATCTAATATGACGAATTTAGAACTGGTTCAAAACTCTAGAAAAAGGGATGCAGAACGAACTAGATCTCATCTGGCGAATTTTGAACTATTTCGAAACTATTGAAAAAGGGATGCAGCGGGGGGCTTGTTTACTTTAAATAGATTTTTGCTTGGCGGGTTTTTCGTTCAAATACGCTTTCAGTCTGCACGTCGCAGATGCTTTTTCATAGTTTGGCAATACAAAACTAATATTTGTGTTAGCATCTTAACATTTTGGGACCTTCTGGAATATAACCAATAACAGTCAGCACCTCTGCAAATTCAGCTACAGCCAAAGGTATGTAAACGTTTTTTCAAATGTACAATTTAATTTACATTCATTCAAACAAATTTGATTTCAGATTGAAAATACATTTCTCTGCAAATAATTGAAATTTTCTACCATGGTAACCCAAATAGAAAACATGTTGTTACTTTTTTCGTTTACAACTGGTTCGAAACTATAGAAAATGGGGTGCAAAGCGAACTAGATCCCATATGTCGAATTTAGGACTGGTTCTGAACTATAGAAAGGGTAATGCAGCGGGGGACAATTTCCAATTCCTATGACATCGCTGTGTTAAATTCGCCAGTTGTTTGCATGCAAAAGAGATTTATCGCGAACTAGTAATGGTTCTAAATGTACTAGAAGCGCAACAATTCAAAACTAGAGATTTTCCCTACAGGGCAGTCAAAGCGAAGCACGGAAAACTACACAGCAACTGCAAGCACTCCTGCACGCCAACACTGCACGAGAATTCGTTGCGTAAGCATGCCAAAGAATTGCGATCTTCATTCGCTTCTCAACCTGCTTATTCAACATCCGACTTAAGTTGATTAACGCTAGCACCAGCTTCCGCAGGTAAGCACAGAGCGTATCGCGAGACTTAGGCCATAAAACCCCGAGCGCCCCTGGCTCTTCCTACGGGAAAGGCCGAGAGGGTGAAGGGGTCTGTAAAAGGGGGAACACACCTCGCACAGACCCCAAACCCATCATTTTGCAAACGGCCTCAGTGGACAGGAGACAAAACCTGACCACTTAGACAACCGCGAAGCGAGCAGGCACTGTGCCGAGGCGGGTAAACACGCCCCACAATGCCAACCAGCCACGATTTAATACACTAGAGGGGGTAATGGGCTGCCTTTCCGCCCTGGGGCCATACTAACCAGCTGCCGTAGCTTTTGCAGGTGACCGTTCGGACCGCCAACACTACCTGCCGCCCCTGGGCCAAAGTCACGACCGAGTACCGCTACCAGCTAGGACCGCTAACCGTGCCATCAGCATCCAGGGCCGCTGTCAATGCCATTACTTACCTGGGCCGAGTACCATCTTCGCGGTCACCGGGCCGCCGAAATCACTGCGGCCCCTAGGCCGAAGCCGATGCTAAGCGCCGCCACCTTCCAGGACCACTGGCCTTACCATCGTCATCCAGGGCCGCCACCGCCACCACCGATTAGGGTCGAGCTATCACCTTCGCCATCATCAGGGCCGCCGACGCCATTTGCCGTCCCTAGGCCAAACCGCTACCGAGGACCGCTACGTGCTGGCTGTAAGGGCCACTACCATCATCGCCATCCAGGACCGCCATCACCGCCGTACTAATCATGGCCGAAGTTATCATCTTCGTCAAACAGCTGGGCCACTAACGCTCTCACCGCCCTGGGCCTATTTGGGTCACCGTTAACATCACCGCAGGGCCGTCAGTGCTACAAGTGACTACTACTGCCGTCACGATCAGCATCGCCGCTCTCATTGGCTGCAGTACCCGTGCTGTGGGCGTTTACCATTACGCTTGCTACCGCTCTCACTGTCGTCATCATTAATCACCGAACCGTCTCAGCTCTCACTGTAATCATCATTAATCACCAGACCGTCACCGCTCTCACCGTCACCGTCACTAGCCACGAGACAGTCTCCGCCCTCTGAACCACGACGCCGACCGCCGACCAGTGAGTCTCTCTCCCTCTCAGTATCTCCCTCTCTCTTCTTGGACGTCAAGGTGCCGGCATTCTGGCCGAACAGCCGCCTGTGTGTCGTTGTGTTCGCTACATTAAACTACTGTATATATTTTATTCAGTGGGGGTTAGTGGGACCTCCGCCCAATCCTGGAGCGGCTGACCTACCTCAGCCTTCGATAAAACCCACCTCATAAAGGCCATAAAATAACAAAAACAAATAACTTAAGGACGAGCACACCTAAAAGTTACACATTCTAAAAATAGAATTATTAGCAAAAACCAACAAAACCAACAAGCACATGATCAAGTAAATTGCAGCGGAACAGCGGCGCTTGATTGTGTTGGCTTAACAAATGAAAGAGTGGAAAAAAGCAAGAATAATTTACAAGGCGAGATTAGTACAGTGCGTAGGCAACTGGCTGAGTCAGTGGGATCGTCGGTTCGAATCCTACTGAAAGAATTCTGATGAGGAAATCTGGTGATTTCCGAAACAGCTATCACTTCTACAATTTTTTCACGTTATTGTTGCTTTTCCACAATAAGTTTTTCATTAAAAACGGCCTCAAGCTCATTAAAAATTGTTGAATACAATAGTTTCTTTTTATAAATATACAAATCGTCACCTGAAACGCAAAAATACGTAACAAACATAATCGTTGAAATGCAAAAAGCCATAACTAAATATAAATAAATAATTCAAAATTCACTTTTTGATTTATATGATGGATTGCATCGGATTACAACTCCCCACATCATTTTATAAAAAAAAAATTAAAATATTAGTCACGACTTTTTCCATTTCTTTTACGATGTAGTTACGTCTCTTTGCATTTCAGATGACGAAATAATCATAGCCTTAAAACTCACCTAAATTGTATTTGTCAAAAAATAAGGTATGTTGGTAGTTCCGAGAAAATTTTCTTATATCTAGTTTAAATTTTGTAGAGATATCGTCATTCAGTAATAAGCTTTGAACTGCAATATTGACCGGAGAAGATGATTTAGCCAGATTTGTTAAATGAGACCACACGAAAGAACCAACTTGATTTATTTCCTCCATTTTTAAAACATTCTTTATTTTATTAATTGAAAAGTGATCGGGGCAAATCATTGCCTGTAAATAAGCTGCGATGCGTACTTCTGAATTAATAGTAAAATTTTCGTAAACGTCTAAAAAAAATGAACGATATTTTTCGCAGTTCGATCGCCTAAATGCGAAAATTGCTTCTAAACGTATACTAAGTGGTGGAAAATTTTCCGGTATGATTTTCTGCAGCTGCTCAACAAAATGTTCTGATAGTATTCCGATATTTCCAAGCCCTTTTAGAATCGCAATCATTCGTTTATATAAACGCAGCTCGCCGCGGAACGTGTTGAAAATTTGAATAAAGTCTGATTCAAGAGACTGTATAATCCATTTAACACGCATATTCTGCCCACACTCAGCATTATATCGGCAGTAGCTATGTATAACCGAGGAGGCACTCAAAGTATATTCTGGCTCAGCTTTGCTTCGAGAGAACTCAAGAATAGTATAAAAAGTTTCAACTGTATCCTCATCGGGTCGTTGAATAAATGATAATGTCTTAAGCCAATTTACAGCCATTTTTTTAGATACACTATCTGTCAGAAGTAGGTCGCGCATGAGTTGATAAGAAGCCGTGCTTCCAATATGAGGTAACGCATCTAAAACATGGTTTCTGAAAAAGAAGAATTGCATTCGTTATCTAAGTAGTAATAGTAATGGTTTTTGGGTTTCGGTCTACTATCGATAGTTTTTAACACTATTGATGCTATCGAAAAATTACCACTCTTTTGAGCCATTTTCCAAGCAGTGACAATTTTGTGGCTAATAAATTTGTTATACGGGTAAGTATTTTGAGAATAAAATGATATATTTTCTAAAGTATTGCGTGAAAATATGTCAATATGTATATAGTTGTAGTTTATTTTGGAAAACAGCTCTAAATCTTGGCAAAAACGAATGGCTATTGTGATTTTTAAAATATGCAATTTAATGTTTAATAGTTATAACTATTGAACTGATCCCTTAATAAAACAAATCGAGCCTTAAATTTGTCAAATGTTTTTAGTGTTTGAAACATTCATTATTTTATGTTATATAACAAAAATGGATTTCTTATGGAATGTATACATACATACATAATTACACAAGTTTAAAACTAAGGTTCTTGGTGAAATAATAAAAATTTGTTTTGAGTTTTTGAAAATATTATTGGGCCTTTGGGTTTCGACGTCGATGTAATTTTTTCAACAAAAAATAGCCCTCGGAAGTCCAACTGCAGCTACGTTGACCACAGTATTTTTGAGGAAAGGAGTTCTTCCTGGGGTATGCGAAAACCATAATAGGGCCGATTATGTTCTTTGTAAATTTTTTTGGGTATTGATTACTGTACACTTATAGAAATAAAAGAAAATATGCCTGATATATAATAAAAAAGTTTCGATGGTAGCAATAGTATCGATAGTGCAGCTAAACTATCGCAAACTATCGAGGTGACCCATTATCGATAGTTTGACAGCTCTAGTTTTTAGTTTTTCACTACGACGTCAGTAATTAAAAATGATTTAAAAAATTCAGTGAAATGTGCTTAGAGAAGAAGTATGGGTATCAAATTAAAGAGGAAATTCTGTAGAATTTAATCAGATTCAATTTTTTAGTGCATAAGGACTGGTAAGTATTGAAAATGTCCTTTTAAAATTTATCTTTAAAATATTGCAATATTTGTTTTTGAAAAAAATAAATGTTAGGGACTTAAATAAACTCGATAACATCCTCGAATTTCGTCCTTCTAACTTTATTAGCTAAAAAAAAATACCTATTTGTCCTTGTGAATCCAAAAAATTTTAATTTTAAATTCTAAAGAAATTTCCTCTTTCATTTGGTACACATATTTTTATTCTGCATTGCATTAAATTTTCTAAATAATTTCTGGAATTAATCATATCTTTAAAATTACAAAGTCCTTTAAAATAAATCCTGACGTCAGAGAGGAAAAATAAAAACGCCACTTTAAATTAAAAAGAAGGTTTCAAATCCATTTATTTATTATTTATTTTATGGTAGGAGAGATAGAAGCAATTCTTTTCGATTTAAGTTGTTGAAAGGCAATAAATCCCGGGATTAAGATAACGACATCCCGAAAATCCCGGAATCGTAAAAATTAACATCCCTAGTTGTTGTTTTTGTTGTAGCGGCTACAACAACCCCGCCCAGATCGGTTAATACCTCAGTCGTTGTCGTCAGGTTCCACTAGCGGCAGCCCTAAGAAGCGTGCAGCCTCAATAGGGTCGGTCCACAGGGACAAAGGCGTTAGGGTTGTCGGATTTTCCGGGCATGTTTCGAGTCGTGAGGGGTCTCTCCGCATGCCGGATACTCATTTGGCACATCCGCGTTTAGTCTGCTCAGGTATGAGTCTAACCTGCTGCAGTAGCCAGAGCGAAGTTGGGCTAACATCCCTAGTATACATCCTTGGTTTCGGTAGGGGTAAAATTTGCGAAGCTGTAACGCATAGCCCAGCAGAAAATTTTCAAGGGCCAGCATGTTTACTGCAGCAGAATATTAATCTTCATATTAATGTGACAGTCAACAAGGCTAAAGGTGTACTTGCATTTGTGAAACGATGGTCAAAAGAATTTAGTGACCCTTATATCACTAAAACCCTGTTTACAACATTAGTTATACGGATTCTGGAATACGGTTCGGTGGTTTGGAATCCTTGATACCTTGGATACAAGATAGAATCAATTCAAAAACAATTCCTACTTTCTGCTACACCTTCCGCCTTATACGAGCCGATTAAAACTTATTAATCTTCCTACACTTGTCAGTCGCAAGGAAATGCTTGGTACAATTTTTATGGTTAAATTACTGACAGGCTCAATTTCATTTCCGCTTTTTCTCGGTGAAGTTAGCCTAAGGTGACCAGCATTTTTTAGCATTCCAGCACATAAATAACGAATAAGTTAACATTGTTAAAAGAAGCAAAAACAATTGGAAGTTACTCTAAACACAAGTCAAACAAAATAATAGTACACTGCGTTGTATAATTATAAGACTGAAACATATTTCCGTTGATTTTTGGCTATTTCTTTTTTGTTGACAGTGTTGTTAATTTTCTTACATATAAAAAGATTTCGAACATACTTTGTATGGAAGAAAATGGGTGACACCGTAAAAAAATGCCAAAAATCAACGTTATTTTGTAGACATATGAAACTCGCACTTTATTATACTAAAAAAAAAAAAAAAAAAAAAAATAAATAATATAAAAATAAATAACCGTTTTATATTGGATTAAACAGGCTTCCGAAAACTAATTTTTCCACGTTCCAATAAATAAGTTATTTTTTTTTAATATCTAGATTAGGGCTGCCAGACGTCCTGGTTTCCTGGTGTCCGGAGTTAGACAAATTGTCCTGGTGTCCTGGTCCACACTTAAATCGTCCTGATTTTTTAATGAAGGTCAATGCAGACACTCCTCTAATTTTTAGCAGATTTTTGCTATGAAAAAAAATGTTAAGCCTTCTGTCATTAGTTGTGGAAAACTGATAACAAAACGTTTTTACTAACATGTTGAATATCTTCTTACTGTTTAGTTTATTTGATTAAAATCTTTTTTTTTCAGGCGAATGCAAGTGCAAGTTCCTGACCAGGTACACGACTGAGGGGTCATACATAAATACTACCCAGTAGGTAATATCAAGAGCTATACTCTTATGCAAAAGGCCTTTCTGAAAGTTACTCCTCTCTCCTTCATTTTTTGTATGGAGCGGCACAAATTGAAGGGCTTCTGTCTTCGCTACTCAAAAAAGAGCTTTCGGAAGGGCTTTTGTAGGAAGTTCTTTCAAAGTTTTTCTTAATTTATAAAAATCATACTTCTTTAAGGAATTTATTTAAGGTTCATATCAAATAGTTTTATTTAGACTTGCCATGCCTATTAAATCTCATTTGTAATGCTAAGTAATATAAACATACACTTAAGTATATTCGCGTAAATTGTAAAAAGGAAACAGCTTTCTAAGAAGCATGCACGGAAGCACTTTTTTCAGTCGTTGTTGGGTAAGTCTTTTACAATGGCTTCACTTAAGACAGCTTACCTAAATTATCTTCAGGCTATGCATATACAAATTGTCAAAAATGATCATGCAGTGCGCTGTAGGATATGCGGAAATTAGCTTATGGTGGTTGGGCAAACATTCAAGACCACGTTAAAAGTTACGTCACAGTCAAGATAAATTTGTTCTTTTATTATTGAAAATTCAGAACTTGACCGTTTCATCATCATCAAGCATTCTGCCAATATTCATCTAGGTTGTACCAAATCGTTAATTTAGTTGAAGGGTTTGGTAAATACTAATAACGATTTTTTTGAAGCATATTTCTACAAATTCCATTCAACTTAACGTATTGTTCATAAAAGGATGTCATTAAGCTCTGCTAATACAGATAAGCTTTCTTTCAACACATGGTTTAGTCATAGTTACCAAATCTTAGTAGAGGCAACCACGATTTGGTTTGAGAGCGGAACATATTCATGCTTGTGAGCCACCCCTAAATAATGCAGAGCGCGCTCTGAGCACATGTGAGTTTCACATACGGAGAGCACCAACTGAGCAATGCACACAGTCCCACTTATTGAATCGTTTGATCGGCCTAGTATGCCGACCATTGCATAAAAACGGTTCAATGAGTGAGACTGTGTGCGTGGAAATCATTGCTCCGCTACCGCTGTTCGCATATGGGTGAAACACGCACGTGGCCACAGAGCGCTCAGTAAGCTATGGCATGTCGATCACTGCGCTAGGTAGAGAAAGAAAAGTGTGTGCTGCTATGACATGCCCAGATTTGTTTGTCTCAGTTTCAGTTTTGCCATCGCCGCGAGTTGTTTCGGTGTGCGCATAGTTAGTGTGTCCAACTGTACATAACTGACACGTACAGTACCTAAATTTGTAGCCATGTACCGTGTACCGAAGCTAACCACAAAATCACGAAAATGTACGTAAATTTTATCGATAGGAGCGCCCAACATACATACATACATGCAAATTTTGACTAATAAAAACTAAAAATATTATAATGAATCAGTTGATGGAAAGTGTAAACACCTCATTAAAAAATCGTCAAAATGACGATAAAATCCGCAACACTGACAACGCTGTCTGCTGAATACTAGTTTTTCTTGTGTCCGTTAAGGGTGGGTAACTCAGAAAATTTATAGTAGTTGACTCAATGACTCCAACTCACTTTAGGGAGTCAGTTCATTCAACTAACTCATTTGACTCTTTGTATACAGTATATTTTGCTTAGCTGCACATCCTTCTTTGCACGAAAAACTTGTGCACTTAACCGAAAAAGGCACTTTTGCTTTACTACTTCAATGGGGAAGGTATCCAAGTCCCTATGAAAGCAAATAATGGAGAAGTACTTACCACGTAGAAATTACTGCAAGCGAAATTTTTACCGAATAGTATCTAATTATCTATATAACTACATAAATTTATAGCCATTTTCGTTGTTCTGCGGGATGAACAAAATAAATAAAAAGTTGTAAAAATAGGTAATTGTAGGGCCAGTGCAGTTAAACGTAATACTTTCTTTGATAATTGATACTAGTCGCATATTTTTTAAGGCAGGTATCGCCAATGTGCAGGTATGCTAAATGCTTCTATCGGAGCAGTTTCCTTATAAATGTTAAAAATAATGCCTCTGAT